CTCAAGCTGCCATGGTGGATGTAGTATAAATCAGAGAGCACAACATTCTTCAGAGAAGGGTCAGAGAAACACTGCCCCCACAAGCGTAGAGACCTACATGGGGAAGCTATGTCAAGAAACAGTACCTTCACATGTTATGTTTAATGTTCCTATGCTTGTGTAGCAATAGCTTATTTACCTTCATAATCATTATAAGAACACTAAGAAACTAAGAGAAGCATTCAATATACTTGTTTCTTAAATTATTTGAATGTGACTGATTCACAGCTTCAGTGTAATCATGTAGAGGAATGTGTGATGGATATTAAAGGGAAATTACAAGAAAAATTTAAATGTAGTAAATGGTTGAAATTTTTATTTTCACACTGGTATAGGGTTCATCTCTGTAGCTATGTGATTCACAACCTTTTTCTCCTTTTCCATATTACTTTGAAAAATTACATCTTTACTGTAGTAGAAATTAGGAATTTGTGAACATTATGGCTGATCTATTTGACACTGCTATGAGAATAGAATCACAAATCTACTCTGAATGTACTTGGAACTATCAGATATTTTTTTCCTAAGCAAAAATCAAGCACTTAAAACTCTAAGAATGTTCACGAGTGATATCTCCTTGGCATAAAGACATAAATGTGACTTTGTGAGCAGGTTTTCAGTCTCCGTTATGAGTCTATCTAGTGTAAAACTATAAAATGGGTAACAGCTGCATACCAATATATAGGCTATATACTAATTATATTAAAATGATGCTTGCTAGATGCATACAAATGATACAAGTTGTATGTGAACTTCCAATAGAAGTCCGTTATCACAATCTGAAGCACAAGCTCGGATGATGCTATCATCAGCAACAGCTATGTTGATAATCTATGATCCAACCTGTGAGATACAAAGGGATTACATGGCTACTGAGGCGACGAGGCAGTCACAGATTTGTTACTCACATGGTTTTTAAACATGATTTTTAATCCAAAGGAAGATGAACAGCCAAAATTATCCAAAGAAGCTAGAATAACAGAACTTCATCTCACGTGCTTTAGACATGTTGTCAGGAAAGACCAGTTCCCAGAAAAGGACATCATGCTTGGTAGTGAGGCAGCAAAAAAAAAAAAAAAGATCCTGACAAAATGGGCTGAAAGAATAACTACGAGAGTGGGCTCAACCACAACCACTGTGAGGATGACACAGGCCTGGGCATTGTTGTGCATAAGGTCGCAGGGTCGAAACTGACTCTGACACCTAACAAGGAGTCCCTGGCCAATGCAAATGGTGAGGCACTCAGTTGTTAAGCTAAAGGTTGGAGATCCAAGAACATATAAAGGCTCATGGGGAGGGGGGGATGTTTGGCTTTCCAACTCCAAAAAATCAACCTCTGAAAATCCTGCGGAGAACAATTCTTCCCTGACACAAAAATGGGGCCACTGTGAGTCCACATCCACTGACAGCAACTATAAAAGATGCTGCTATTGTTGGTGCCTACGGGAAACCCTTTAACAATTTACATCATTTTAAATCACTATTGCTTTATTTTGTTTGCCTCCTTTTAACACACCTAATCATGTAAGTGAATTACAGCCATTAAACTTGAATCAAAAAAATTCGTGATAAAGCCTTCAAATGCAGAACTAAGTATCTTTGGCATAAATTTCCCCCATTGTTATACCACTTTAAACACTAAGCTTTTAATGGTTTAATGTGGAAATTGGTATCACATTCTTACAACACTAATCCTTAAGTACCACACACTACTTATCTTGATTCAAATTCATCATTAAATATCGATTGTATAACCACAATGGCATCCTCTAGGATTATTAACGTATACAGGACTCTGAAGCTGTTTTTGCTGTTTCTATTTTTTGCGGGGGAGGGAAGTCATCGCTCCTGTTGTCAGCTGGTAATGATTTGTTGAGAAAAAAGCATTATGAATTGGGAGTGAAATAAGTGAAATAAAACTAAGCATTCCCTACTGAATCAAGTGTGTCCGCATTAGTGTAGCATCTTTCTTGATCCACTCCAGACTGGTGATGCTCTCAAACCCAAACCCAACCACTGCCATTGAGTCAATGCTGACTCACAGTGATCCTACAGGCAGGGTCAGGAACTGCCAACCTTGTTGTGATGCTACAACTAAATTCTAAATGGATGAAGTGCAATTTCATCCATTTCCCTTGGTATCAAATAAAATATTCACCGAACTTTCTAAAGCACCCTATTAAACAAGTTTTCACACAGCAAATTTCTCCCATTCAACAATTCGTACACAAATTGTTCCCTAACAATGATTATCGTCCCATGTCCACCCCCCCACCATTCTCCCCATTCCCATCCCTCCATTTTCCCTGTCCCCCCTGGGCTTCCTTTTGCTTCCGGACAAATGCTGCTCATTTTATCTGACAGTTTTTATCGTTCTAAAGAACATCTGCATGGGTGGTGTTTACTTTCTAGGCCCATCTACTCTTTGGCAGAAAGGTGAACTCTCTGGGAATGGCTACAGTGCCAAGTTAAAGTGGTATGTTAGACCAATAGTATAACCTTGAGGATTTCTCCAGTCTTCCCCAACCCAGAAAATCTGGTCCTTTTTTATGCATTTGAATTGTGTTCTGCCTTTGTCTCTAACTCTAACCAGGATGAGAGCGTGTTTCTCGTGGAGGTCTAAGTGATCACTGGTGAAAAGGAAGAATTACATGAATCAGCAGTTAAGTGGCTTCCCGTAAACTTATTAGCAAATTGGGCTACAAAATACAAAAGCAATTTAATGAATCATGAGACACTGACCTCAAAGCTGAACTTCGGTGTGCTTTTCAAAATGCAGCTTGCTTAATTTCCCATCTGAATGAATCACTAATATCTCAAGCCTGATTGACAATTTTGGACACCTAGTGTTTACATAAGGATGCTACTCATTTGCTGAGTGAAGCAATGAGTGGTTGTCTAAGCCAGCAGAACAGCCCTCAAAGCAACCACATGACTAGTACCAACAGGGCTAGCTCTTGACGTTCCAAGAAAGCCAAGTCATGCATCCAAGAGTAAGTCCTCTTCTGTTCTATCGAGTCAGAGGCAGCTGGTTAGTACATCATTTGTTAAGGTTTACATAGGATTCTATGAACTACAAGTAGTGATGGCAATTAATAATAATGTTCACGTAAAGGAGTCATTAAAATAAGAGCTTACTATCAACAAGGGACTCAAACATGAGAATGAGTGTGCTGAGCTACGTTGTACGGAAGGGTCGCTATGAGCCAGAACCGATTTGACACTACAAAACAGCAACGACAATTAGTTCCAGGCTTCTGAAAAATTTGTACAGGTGGAAAAATATTTCAGCAACATACTGATTTCTAATAAATTTTAACTGAAAGATTCTTCTGAGTATAGCCTTTTACTTTGGGGGTGGGTGGGTTAATAATGAGTTTTCAAAATTCTTTAAAATGCTCATGACGAAGTTAAAAATTGTTGACTTTATACTTATTTCTTCATTTTGTGAGGTGACCTGGTGGCACAGCACTCAGCTGTTAATCCAAAAGTTGGCAGTTCAAACCCACCAACAGTGCTATGGGAGACGAGCCCTGGCTACGTGCTCCTTTAAGAACAGGGCTTCCTTGGGACACCAAAGGGCAGTTCTGCTCCAGCCAACAGTGTTGTTGTGAGTTGTAATTGATTTGATGGCTACAACTCCTCTAGTTTTAGGAAATTGTACTTTCTCCTATGAAATTCAAGTACGGGAAACACTAAAACATGTTATTAAAACATGCTACTGCCATTATATGGATAGTTTTCTATCAAGAAAAACATTCCATGACCATCCACTAAGATTCCCAAACTCCTAGAGAAGGAATTTTTCTAAAACCTGTGTTCAACTGGGGGGAATTAAATGATTAATCTGACAGTGAAGCTCTTACGGATGTTGAAACACACACACACACACACACACACACACACACACACACACACACACACCAAACCCGGACAACGGCCCCAGCAATGTTGTATTTCTTCTCCCAAATAACAGGTAACAAGAGGAAGGTAAAAGAATTTTTGACTTAGATCGGGTAAAATCTCAAGTTCAGACTTTGTTCCTAGCCCTTAACTTTACAATTCCTGCTGGTGGTCATTCAAAGGGAAGGTCACCCAACAGAAACGTCTGGTATTTCATGTAGCAATGGGTGTCGTGTGATACAGGTGCCACACTAAGCAAGCAGCAAGCAGACAGAGGCTGGGATGTGCTGTTGTCTGCCTTTGAGTCACTGAGGACTCATGTGACAGATCTGCCCCACAGGGTTTTCTTGGCTATAATCTTGCCAAGAAATCAAGCAGATGCCAGAGGTTTCTTCTGCAGAGCAACTGGTTGGGTTCAAACCACCAACCTTTTTGTCACCAGAGTTGCTTACTCTGTAGTGTACGGAAGTCTGGTGATGCAACTGTTAATCTGAATATAAGAGGGTAGGACTTGCTCTACTGGGCTTCTTAGAGCTTCCTTTCATATAGACAAAGAAAGTTAAAGTGATTTGGCATTTTAATGTATATAAGTGCTCAACTAAAGCTTTTAAGTATTTTTCCTTCTGGAACCTTGAAAAACATCATAAAAAAAGGAAGCACAGTAAAGTCCTGGAGATCACCTCTCGCCAAACCACAGAAGCATAAGAAGGGACAATGAACACCAGGGAGAAAAAGCTTCTCAGAACAACCAACCTAGGAAAACAAAGACAGCATCTAGCCAAAACCCAAATTCCAAAGGCACGAAGGTCGGGAAAGACGAGCCCAGGAAGTGGGAAGAGCGGAGGGGGCTGTGCGCAACATCACAAAGCAAGGTGTGTACAAACAAAAGGGGAAACATTTGCTCTGGACGCTTTCACCCCAACCACAATGAAATGTTCACATACAAAATAAGGTCCAGTGAACTACAAATATTAGAATTTCAATGACAAACTGAAGGGAAGCTATTCATATGCAATTTACAGTGTAAGATGAAACTACATAGACTCTTAACAGGAAGCTGAAAATTAGATTTTCCAGTTTATTTTGCAAACTTTTTTTTGTATTTTATGTTTTTATGGTTTACACTGCTTCAAACAGGAAAAAGTTCACATAAATACAATTTGAACATGAAGTTACTATCATTTTCATATGAATTCGGGTTTATTTGATTTCTAATTGACTTTAATTCAAAGTACTGCAGGCTGTGAGTTAGCGGTATGTGCTGCCAGCCCTGCCCACTCCATTATTAAGTCACAGCTCCATAGACACACAAAATATACACATAAACAGATACAAACAAGACTTTTGTAAACTAAACAAATCTTTTATAATATAAATAGCTGTTCCTGGTAGGAGTTTTTTATATCCAGTTTACTTCTTTCCTGAAATGGAGCTATCCGTATAAATTATACAGGAACCTCTATAAAGGTAAGAGTTTACACCACAGTAAACACTCAGGCAATTCAGGATGGCAATATTTATCTCCTAAAAAATGAACTGTGAGAGGTCAAGAAGAAAAAATCACTTCAAATGCCCAAAACAAGACAACTGAAAAATAATATAATTATCGGTGTAGGGGAAAAAATTACTATACTTTCTGTTGAAAATATTGATATACAAACAAGCACTTTTAGACCCATTAGCAACAATTTAGCTAATCCCAATTAAGTGTTGAGAAGTTGCTGATTTTATTATTGAAAGATAAAGGAACTCTTAGAAGCCATAATGAGACTTTACAATTTAATGTTTATATAAATGACAGTACCAAATATAAACAGTAGTGTAGCAAGAAAATAAATTGGCAGAAATAATTATCCAGTCAGTAGAAATAATTAAGACCACCATTTCAAAGATTTCCTATAGACAAAGAATGAGAAAATATTGTTATAAGATTTTACAGCACATAATTCAATTCTTCCCCGTTTTATCACTATTACACTTCTTTCTTCTTCAGTATTAATGGACCCACATTGTCTCCTGTCAATTCATTGTGTTTGTTATGTGAACCATCACAAGCAGGAAACTAGAAAGAGAAACAGAATTACATGTTTTTTAAAAATATGATTCAATAGAAAATGTTTGAAATACTCATAAAGCATAGTACTTTTCTTACGGAAACTAAAACCAACCGGCAACCACCATGCACTTTTCCTCAGGAGCAGATGTTGGTAGCTTCTGACTAAACAATGAGATTCCATTTTGCCATCATTAAATTGGTTCTAAGTTGACTACCTTTTTAAAAGTTTTCATTACTTTTGACTTTACTATTAGTATTTTTACAAGTCTTAACACTGATCTTCTGCAAGTGAACATTGAGAAAGTAAACTTTGTGCTGCAACATTATATGTGGTAAGGTTTAGAAGAAAAAGGAGGCAGTCATGTTAACTTAAATATAGTCGACCCTCTAAATTGTAGTTTTCTTCCGCTGCAGATACAACCAACTGCAGGTGGGAAATATTTGGAGGGATAAAGCAATCAAGTAGTCAAAGCAATCCCTCAAAGGCTAAAGAGGGTTTAAAAATCCAATTTACATTGAATTAAGTATAAATAATGCAGAAATTATATAAGATATACAGGAAGATGTATAATACTGTTATGCACATACAAATTCTACAATATTTGAGATATGGGACTTTTGCATCTGCAGATTTTGGCATCTTAGAAGGATCCCGGAAACCAATCCCTGCTGGTACCAAGCAACAGCACATTGCACATCAGGGACTGCCTGTATATTCTACATCTAATCTAACCTCAATTTGCTACCACAGCAAATATGACAAATAGTTAAATATATTACCATATATACGCGAATATAAGCTGAGTTTTTTCAGCACATCTTTTTTTTTTTAATTGTTTTATTAGGGGCTCATACGACTCATCACAATCCATACATACATCAATTGTGTAAAGCACATTTGTACATTCATTGCCCTCGTCATTCTCAAAACATTTGCTCCCCACTTAAGCCCCCGGCACCAGGTCCTCATTTTTTTCCTCCTCCCTCCCTGCTCCCCCCTTCAGTACCTCTTTTATGCTGAAAAAGCCCCCTAGTTTTTTGTGGTAAAATTAGGTGCTGAGGCTTATACTCGAGTATATATAGTATTTGGTGTCAGTTTGTAATCAATACAAAATAAAGTACGTTTAAATAAAAATCAACATAAATGCTTCTTTTCTCTGGAGTCAAAATTTGAGCTCATTCACTTTTACACAGATTTTTAAGATTTTAATTGTAATTTAAATTTCATGTTTTGTTAATACAACTCAAATTGTAAGTTTTTGGAAAAACATTAAAAATAGGCTTAAGGAAAACAAAGTTCCCCACAATCCACCAAGAAACAGAGACAAATTAACCTTTTTATGTATTTTTTCTTATGTATTTAATGTGTCTATAGGAGCGCAGGGGGTGCTATTGGGTACTTGCTGGACTGTAAAGAGCAAGGTCAGTGATTTAAACTGACCAGCAGTCCCAAAGGAGAGAGAGGAGGGTTTTTGCTCCTATAAAGGGTTAAACTAAGTCTCGGAACCCAATGGAGCAGTTCTACTCTGCTCTGTGGGGCAGAGTCACGATGAATCAGAACTGACTCAATGGCAGTGGTTTTGGGGGGATACTCATACTGTAGTTTGTTTTTCTTATATTACATTGTGATCTCATGACATTAAACATTCTTTAAAAGCATGATTTCTGTGGCTTAGTACCATTCCATCCATTTGCATAATACTATATTTGAATCACTTCCCCCTAAATTGTTCTAGTATGCCTTTATAAATTTTGAACATTAATTTACTTCAAAGTCCAAATATCCTATGCACAAAGTAATAGTAGAAGCAGATTTCATCAATAGCTTTTAGTAATCATCATTTCAAACTCCTTTATAATATCCACATCAAAAGTTTCTAAAAATAACTGTTTACATAAATCATTTCAGTGAATCCACAATGCCTGTTATATTAGTAAGTGAGCAGATTTTCAAAAACTGATGCTCAAAGAAATAAGAAAATTAAGTAATTTGCCTAACCAGAGTCATATTGTAAGTATTAGACACCAAATTTGGACATAATTTATTTTGACTCCAAAGTGCCAGCTCTTTTCCAAAAGTCTTTCTTTTTTTCCTCAAAGATTACATGCATTTTAAAAGCAAAGTATTACATAACTTCTTAAATTTTTTCAACTCCTGACCACTTGTTGCTTGAGAAATTTGCAACATGGTAAAATTCTGCTGAAAACACCTTAAGAGTCATTGCGCATTTGATTTTAATTAATTTTTGTCGCTGCAGGTTCAGAAAACCTTTGACTGTTGCCAAATTTTTGGCAACCTCCACATTCATTTCACCTGGGGTCCCACAATTTAAGAAGCTGTGCTCTAGGCAAAGGCTGAACCATGGGGAAATAACAGATTCCTGTGCTTTCTTGCTGCTGTAACTTTTCAAATTTGAACTTTGGGAAAAGAGACGCTCAATATTGAATACTATAAACACATTTCTTATCTTCCAGAATCTCAAATCTGGGATTTCAGAAGCAAGACATTCAGGCTGCACACGCTTTGCTGTGAATGTAATGAAGACATCTTACTGTCTTGGAACGCCAGCACCGACAATAAGCTGCTTTCGTGAGACACAGATCCTCGATGTTTATTTCATTCACAACTTTGGGATTTTCCTTTTGTATTTTAAGATTAATCAAGCTATCCTTCTGCTGCTTTTTCTTCGAGAGGAATGGGCGGACTGCAAGGTAGCCAAGGAGTGCAAGCACGCCCAGAAAAGGCAGCAACCGAAGCCATTCTGAAACTAAACAGACACAGATGTTAGAATTGTAGGTGCTTCGTTGAAGTTAGTGCAAAACTGCATGTCTGCTTTCCTTGAGAGTTCTTATTTACCAGCTCTCGTTAAAACTAAAGAATCACACAATCTAGCGAGCTACACGTAGGACAACACCTTGTTTCATATTAAGGGTTAATGTGAGATACCGGTTGTTAGAAAACTGAGTTTTGAGAAGTCCCATTTCAAATATCCTACCTCGCTGTCCCCATGAGGTGTACGATCACCATAATGAACGCAAACAAAATTCAATGTGCCATAGATTTTATAGTTTAAAAAGCCTTTTCACTTTTTTTTCACCCTTTTTTTCCTTTGTACCATGTCTAAAACCATACAACAAAATAGCCACAAAAATTCAACAATGGTTTATAAGTTAAGAGTCACTGGCTGGCTTACAGAACACATCATGAATTTCATATTTAAAGATCCATGCCCATCTTGTCTCATCTCATCTACTGCGTCTCCCAATGTGCCACCATTTACCCACTGCCTTCCAGCTTCCTGCTTCCATTCCTCTCTTTCCTGCCCTGCTGGACTTCGTCCTTTAGATTTTAAATAGCTGATTGATCTAAGGTGTTTACCTCATTAAGTTGTTATTGTTCCCCTTCAAACTCAAACTCAAGGGCGTTGACTCATACTGACCCCATGTGGACTTCCAAGACTGTAAACTATTTGCAGAAACAGAAAGTGCAGTCTTTTCTCCCACGTAGTTGATGGTGGTTTCAAACTGCCAACCATGTAAATTGCAGCCCAACACGCAACCACAACAACACCAAGGCTCCTTCTGTTCCCCTTATACACCCGTTGATGGTTTTGCCTGAAGGGTGGGTTCACTTCCAGATCTGAAGTGTAACTGAGGGCCATAGTCTTAGGGGTTCCACCAGTCTCTATCCAACCAGTAAACTTGGTCTTTTTTTAAATGATTTTCAATTGTACCCCATATTTCTCTCCCTCTCTATCTAGGGCCTTCTAATATGATCCTTTTCAAAACAGTTGGTAACAGAAGCCAGGCACCATCTAGTTCTTCTAAGATTCATTTTTAATGATAATTATGCAATACCTGCCATGACCAATTCACGTTCTTTTGTGTCCTTTTTAATACCTAAAGAAATATTTGAGTATGTAAGAGCTACTATTTAAAGAATAGAAACATTCATATATTGAATGGTCTCATTGTAAGATATAACATCATTCTCTAAATATTGGTTCAATGCCTTCTGGAGTACCCACCACTATTTTAGGTGACAGCAATTACAAGTGACATAAAATAACATACCAGGAAACTAAGATAAATATTTCAGCATGCATTTATCAAACGTCTGTTAATAAATCTGTTGCGAATCCTTTCTGTTCTTACGGAGTTACTATTTAACTTACGTCACTGAGCCTTGATTCCCTGCTAGCATTATATAGAAATAACTTGATAAAGAAAAGAAACCAAAGGGCCAGATCAAATCCAGGGATACATGTGGTAGCCAACTAAAGGGAAGGGAAAAAGTAAAAAAAGAAAAAGAAAGAAACGGGTAGTGGGGGAACAGGGCACTAGCCCACTCAAGGGGGGAGTAATTGTTTATATCTCCACAGGGAAAGAGGGGCCAGACTTCAACCCGGTGCTCCAAGATGTGAATGCAACATACAGGCATGGAGCAGAGAACCAATGGAGAGGTCTGAGGGGCCAGCCCCAATCCCAACTACGTGGACACCTGCCCCTCCCCCCAGAAAAATTTATTTCAGAGGACAGCACTGAAGCTGCAGCTCAGGGAGAGGGACTTGTCTGTTCAGGGAACACGGGAGCAAATGAAGGGGGAGGAAGAGAGAGTGAAGCACATCCTGGCCCACCAAACCTTGAGGATGACATCCCAGCTCAGAGCAGCCAATCCACACAGACGACCATATGGCCGGCCCCACTATGCGACACTACATCTCTCAAAGACCCATAGCTCTACAGGGGACAACACTGGAGACACAGTGTGGGAATAGCACCCAATCTGATTCCACCACACTGAGGCAAAACACTAAGGGTATGCAACAGAATAGCAAGGGAACAGAGCAACCAAGCCCCTAGGGAATACCAAAAATAAACTTTGGGGCCAGGGCATGGCACACCCATCAGACTCAACTGCACAACACTCCTAAAGGCCAACAAATAGTCCTTGAATTAACTACAGGCATTTCTTTGTTGTGGTGGTGGTGGTTGTTTGTCATTGGCATTTGGTTGTTGTTGTTTTGTTTTCTTTTGTTGCTTTGTTTAACTCTGTCTTGTTTTTGTGCATGTTATTATCTCTGCAAGTCTGTCTAAGTAAAATAGACTGGATGAACAATCTGGAGGAGAAAACAATGGGACAGATGGTTGGTGGGGACATGGGAGAGGGAGGGGGGTGTGTGAAGAAAGTGGTGTTAACAAACCCAGGGACAAGGGAACAACAAGTGATCCAAATCGGTGGTGAGGAGGCCTGGTAGGGCGTGATCAAGGGTAATGTAACCGAGAGGAATTACTGAATTACTGAAACCCAAATGAAGGCTGAGCATGATGGTGGGACAAGAGGAAGGTGAAATGAAACGGAGGAAAGAACTAGGAGGCAAAGGGCATTTATGGAGGTGTAAATAAATTCATTTACATATGTAAATATATTTACATATGAGGATGGTGAAATAGATCTATGTGCATATATTTATAGGTTTAGCAGATGGACATTAAGGTAGCAGATGGACACTAGGCCTATACTCAAGTACTCCCTCAATGCAAGAATACTTTGTTCTATTAGACTGGCATTCCATGATGTTCACTTTCCCAATTCGATTGCTGAAGACAACGCGAGTTCATAAGCAAAAGTGAAGAAAGCTGATGTTGCCAGGATATCAAAGGATAGAGCATCTGGGGTCTTAAAGGCCTGAAGGCAAACAAGCAGCCATCTAGCTCAGAAGCAACAAAACCCACATGGAAGAAGCACACCAGCCTGTGTGATCACAAGATGTCAAAGGAATCAGGTATCAGGCATCAAAGAACAAAAAAATCAAATCATTGTGAATAAAGGGGAGTGCAGATTGAGGACCCAAGACCCATCTGTAGGCAACTGGACATCCCCTTACAAAAGGGTCGTGGGGAGGAGATGAGCCAGGCAGGGTACAGGGTAGCAATGATGAAACATACAACTTTCCTCTAGCTCCTAAATGCTTCCTCCCCCCCACCCCACTATCATGATCCCAATTCTACCTTACAAATCTGGCTAGACCAGAGGATGTACACTGGTACAGATAGGAACTGGAAAAACAGGGAATCCAGGACCAGTGCTGAGTGGCAACACCGGGAGGGTGGGAGGTAGGTTTGGTGGAAAGGGGGAGCCGATTACAAAGATCTACATATAACCTCCTCTCTGGCGGATGGACAACAGAACAGTGGGTGAAGGGAGACGTCGGACAGTTTAAGATATGACAAAATAATAATAACATATATCAACAGTTCATGAAGGAGGGGGGATTGAGAAGGGAGGGGGGGAAATGAGGAGCTGATACCAAGGGCTCAAGTAGAAAGCAAGTATTTTGAGAATGGTGAGGGCAACAAATGTAAAAATGTACTTGACACAATGGATGGATGTATGGATTGTGGTGAGAGTTGGACAAGCCCCCCAATAAAATGATTGAATTAAAAGAGAGAGAAAAGAAACTAAGAGATTATGTGCTAATGATAAATGAATAGGATATGCTAAGAATGCCATTGTATTACCTAATAAGTTGTTGTTTTAAACAACTGTATATGGTAGGTACTATTACAATTCCCATTTTACCAGTATGTAAACTGTAGCTTAATCAGGTTTAGACCAAAACCCCTAAATCCAAAATCTTTTCTCAAACCACGAGACAACAAATCCAATAGATCTGAAATGAAATATACTCTTTTCTTGGTATAACACCTCCTAAGAGATCACTGTTATTAATTAATGATTGTAAGAAAGGCTGGGTTATACCAATTCTTCTCGAATGATTACTTTTGATGGGACACCATGGGGATAAAGCCCAAACCAGTTTGTTATGTAATCTCAATATTTAGCACCAATAAGAGTCCCTCACATGAAAATACACACAACAAATAGTAGCTTTTATTAGTAGACTATGGACACAGACAGGAAAGTATTAGTAACTCCTTTAAAAAAAAATTATTTTGCCACATCAACTTGCCTGCACTGTATGGTAGGAATCTTCAGTGATATATCTTTCCGTTCTCAGAAGGAAGCTCTTCTGTAACTTGTCTGTCATATTGGTTGTCAGAAAATCATAACCAGAGGACAGATTCTCTGATTGAATTAAAGTTCTGGAGAGTACACAGAATTGTTGCAGAGCTGTTCAGTACTGTTCAGTAGGGTAGCCAACATCCAAACAAGGCTATGTAATTTTAATGAATATAAGCAAAACTTTAATTCAATTTCTTATGACCCACTAGTCACACTTACAGACTTATAAGCCACCGTGGCTAGTTAGGCTATTATATTTCCATCACCACAAAAGACTTTAGACAGTACTGTTATGAAGCATTGGTTCTACAAAGTACCATTGCTAGCATGAATAATAACGCCAGTTATTCCCTAAGCAGGTTTCTTGTGTTGTTGGCACAAAGCGCCTTCTCTTGGCAATGCCTTTTTCTCCACCTGGTGTGCCTAATTTATATGGACCATCCAATATTACTTCCTACAGAACTCTTCCCTGATTTCATAAAGCACAACGAATCATTTCCTCTGTACTTCTAAGGCCCCTTTCTTATGTGTCTGCGATCAAAATCCTGTTATTTATTACCTGTTTGCAAAATAGGCTCCTGCATAGGCCTTCAAAGAAAAAAGTTGTGATCTACAAGCCCTGACACACAAGGATGATTCATAAGAGGGTTACCCAAAAAACCCCCAGAATATCGCACCTCTCCCCAAGCTTTGTACTTAAATTTTTTTTACAAAACAACCTATCACCTTCAAAGTACTCTC